AAAATCAGTTTGCATAGGTTTCAGGAGGTGGGCTAACCATTGCAAGCATTTAAAATGGCTTCCAAACATTGTAAGACACTTTTACAGGAACGAAAAAGAGACATCGTTGTGTGAAAATCCCCCATAGGAAACATCGCTGTGTGAGGCGGCAAATTTAACAGAAAAAGGCATCGTTGTGTGAATTCATCGTTGTGTGAGGCACCCGTTGTGCGAGGCACCACTGTACTTAAAACTTTGGTTAGTAAAATAACTTATCCTCCAGAATGTATTTTAGTTTTTATGGTGACATAAGTATTTTTTTTAATTTAACCATCATCAACAGAAAGAATGGTTAGATTGTCTAAAACATACAAGATTTTTGAGGTTTGTTTTAGAACTGAGATTGTGATCTGTGTTACCACTACAGGTGACCTGCTTTTCATATCGTAAACAGATTATACATTTTAATATTTATTTCTGTGTAACAGTTGTTTAACATTAACTAATTTTGCAGACATAGTCATACCTATAAAATTATAATTGTTGGTAACATGACTCTTGGTAACACAATCTAAATGTAGCTAAATTTGGTTGAGGTGTATTTGTTCAAGGTTCACTCAAGCAGGTCCACTCATCTCATTTCCATTTGTAAGCACCTCCATAACAACAGAATGCTAATAAAGTTCAATTTTGTGTCTTCCAAGAATTTTGTTACAGTTGAGGAAGGAGTCAGATAATAGAGTGGTGTCCCGCTAGACAATGTTAATTCATTCCATTGAAATCGCTGTTTAGTGAAAACATCATCTAGCGAAAAGCCTTTCCCCATTGGAATGCATTGAAACCCGTTTAATGCGTTCCAATGGGGAAAAATCGTCGTCGTCCAGCGAAGATCGCCCATAGGGAAGCTGCTTTGGGAACCGCTGATCAGCTGTTCTAAATCGCTGTCTTGTGAAAAACGGGCCCGAAATCACCCGTTTTGTGAAGATTACCCTTAGGGAAGCCATTTTGCAAACCGCCGATCAGCTGTTTTAAATCGTCGTATTGCAAAAAAAGGTCCATGAAGCACGGACCAAATTGTCGTCCAGTGAAATTCCCCCATAGGAGTCACTGTTTTGCGAGGCAAAATGGCGGTCACAAAACGTCGTCGTCATGTGTATTTGTCGTTTTGAGGGGTAATTGTTTTGCGAGGTACCACTGTACTTACAATGTAAGCTACGTGTTTATAATTGTCTCTTACATTTACAGTTTTTCTCCTCCAGTTGATGAGCCAAGTATTAAGAATGAAAAAATTGATTTGTCCCTCTGTCTTGAAAGAAAAACAATCTTCCGGGGAAAAACGTTTGTGTTCCTAACTGCTAAGCAGGTAACTGGCTTTGTACTACTCTTTGAAATTGCAAGATGGGGGGATATAATGAAAGATACACCACATGCAGGAATTACGTTGATGTCACAAGTGCACTATGCTCAACATACTGTATAAGGGCTCCATGTGAATCATGAGAAGCGGGGCTGGATCACTGACCCCACCTTGGACCACTCTCACTAGTGATTGTGGAGTCAGGTAATGATTGTAGAATTTACACAAGTGGATGTGGGTGGGAAACCATGTTTAATGTCAGCTCCTTCCAAAGAGAACTAATAAGAAATCTGATTCCTTGACAGACATATGATATTTTAAAATCTAAATAAGGAAGTTTCGGACTTCTCAACATCCTGAACTTAACGTCTCAGTCAGTTTTGGACTTTAATTCTGGTAATTAGTTGAACTGCATTCGTGTTAATGAAGGTAAATGGACAGGTTTCAGAAGCATGTAGAAAACTGATTGAAAGGCCATGGATCCATGCTTTATCACCTTTCTGTGTGGGTGGATCAGAAATGGGTCTTGAGATTGCACATTTGTTCTAATCTCTATATAGTGGAATGCCCAAAGTGAAGGCTGTTGTATTTATTAAAGTAAAGAAACTCCCTGCCTTCTTTTCTTTCAAGAGAGAGTTCAAACCACAGGGTTTTTTAGTATCTTTATGGCAGCCATGTGGTCATAACAAAATAAAATCCAAATGCAGAAATAGGCAATAACTTTATAGACCACTAAAAGTAACGACACAATAAGTGAGCTTTCGTGGATTAAACACCACTTCATCAGGGTTGTGCCAGTGTGAAGAACTTATAGTCAAAAAACTTAAAGTCCAAAAAATACAGGGCAAGATTTTTTTTCCAGGAAAGTTGCTCTTGGATGTTAAGTCCAGCAGTTCTTGTCAATTCACCAGACTTTTTCTCTTAGATGAAGTGAAGAGTCTGGTTGCTGTTTTGTGGATGCAATTTAGGCAGCCATTTCTACAAACAAAGAAGTACAGATATTATTGTCTATTTTTGCATTTGTTTTAATTGTGTAGATTTTATATTTATTTCTAGCATGCAAAACTGAGTCCAGCAATTAAACTTGGAGGAGGAGAAGCAAAGCTGATGAAAGAGGGAGAAGATGCTGCTTCTTCTTTGGTAGCGCCTGATGTTTGTGTCATTGAAGTAGGATTCACAAACTCTCAAGCATCTATATCTGATCTGGAGAGGAAATGGACTGAAACAATCACCGCTGTTTTGGAAAGGTGTGGTAATATTATCTATGATTGGGATTGCTGAGATCTTAGCAAGTGGATGGTCTTTTCAAATACTTGGGTTTCAGGTTGTGTGTTTTTGGGAGATGGACTGTCTTATAGTACCTCAAAGATAAATTGGTGTTTATTTTTCATAAGTTTTTGTATATCCAACCACACTTCTTCAGATGACTTTGACATTCAAGAAGTTACTAGATTTTCTTCATTGCGTTCTACTGATCTAGTGAAAAGCTATTGTATTTATTATCACAGTGTTTGCAGAATGACTTAGGGGGAAAAGAAACAGAAACATATGAGATGGTAGGGTTAGAGTATACCAAGAAATGGTGTCTAACTTTTTAGGCTGCTTAAACCAGAAGCTGATATTTCCATCTTTTGTAAGAAAGGAGCATTGGTGAAAACCTATATGCTGTTATTATGCTGTTATGTTTTCATAATAGACAACATGTTTTCTGTTCTTTATTGCAAATGATACTGGGATCAGAAATCCCCAACAGATTTACAAAATATGTTTACAAACATGATTTTTTTAAAAACACAGTTTAAACTTTCTTGTTGAAGCGAAAAATTGTTTTCTTTGGGTACCTTTAACTCCAGAACTAACTGCTGTAGTGGTGGTGGTGAGGTTCTTGTTTAGCTAAGGTTAATCAGTTCTAGAATATTTCCTTTGTTTCACAAATGGGAGTTATTTGGTATGAATTCACAAAACTATAGTTGGGGAACTACAGAAGTAGGAGAACTGAGTGCTTCACTTGCGGGCTGTGGGGCTAGTCTGTGCTGCTAGCACATCAGTTCTGAGACCAGCACCTGTAGGCCTGAGTTGTCATTTATTTATTTATTTATTTATTTGATTTATGACCCATTCATCTGATCAAATCGACCACTCTGAGCGGTCATGTGAAGCTACAGGCCCTTGTACTACTTTGAATGTGTCAAGAGAAGATTTTCAAAAGTAGGAAGAAGTGCAATGTGCAATGCTTGGATTCTGGCTGAAATGTTTTGTGGTCTGCTTAAAGGTCTGCCCTTTAGTGGCAACTGCTGATTGATCTGCTTTTGTGTTTTTCTCACAATGTATTATATTATTAATAGGAATAAATATAGGACAATTTCAGAAGCAGAAATTGGCCTAGCAGTTATCTTTGCATCCACAGAAAGATATTGCAATCCTCAAATTCCATCTGATGCAGGTAAAAAATATATATATTTAACGAATCTTTTCTTGTTGGCCTTCAAAAATCTTTATTACTTATCACTAGACATGAAAAACACTGTGTAGAATTTTTTTAAATAATGTGGTAGTATGCTTTCTTATTAATGTCTCAGTGTTTTGCATGTAGCTGGAGATATTTAGCCTTTAAACAGGAAATAAAAACATGTTTCCATTTCATACTGAATTCCTTATTTGCTCTACCTTTGTGAGCATGTGTATGCAATTTCTGTCTTACTCCCTTTCCATTTTTCTTCTGATTTTGGCCTTGCCAGACTGATGAAAAGGTTACCAGGATATTGTTTGTGAAACACTGAAATATATTTAAAATAAAAAAATTGTAAAAATTGTGTGAAAAGGTGCACCGCATCCCAAATGGACTCTTCTCCAGTCCTGTACAAAATATAGAAATAGAAAATAAAACTTCCTAATTTTTCATTGGTGCTCACTTTCTGGGATTTTGGTAATTGGCTATGCACAATGATAGTTAGTATAAGTGTTGTTTTAATTAGGATGTGACAAATAGAAATGGATGTGCATCACAGAAGTGCATTCCTTTAAAGTAATAGGATCTAGGCCTGTATTCAAGGCCCTGCTTGCACTCCTGTTGTAATGAACTGTTGTCCAGCATGAGTGATATACTTCTAGAAGAGTAATTAATTTAATTCATGTTGACGAAAACCAATGAGATAAGTTTTAAGAATCTTTTGGAAGCCACCATACAATCCAAATTGAGTACCTAGGCAAATTCATGGAACTGTTCTTGCTAGTGGAACTTTTGCCTGTCATTGAATAACAGTTTCAAGCCCCTAGTGTATCATAAAATGGTGTATCATTAAAAGGAAAAAGAAACAGTTTAACTTGCTATGTTTGAGTGGGTTGTTATCCTTGAAAATATGAATAAAGTACTCTCTCAAGCATGTTGAATTAATTGTGCATATCTCTGGATTGGGGGCCTTGTTCTTTTTTATTTTTTCACTCATTTGATTATATCAAATTCATGTGATGTATTTTCAAAAAAGTAACTGTGTAAATCTGTTTCAGCATGTATACAAAAATTAGTCTTCAAGATGCCACAACTCTTTTTAAAAACATTTATTATACTTCATGTGATATATCATATAATTTGAAGGAACTGGAGACCTGTTTGGATAGTTTATGTTGCAGCTTGGAAAAGTGATGACTTTTTTGTACATGATTCTGAAATACTAGCAGTTGTTCTTCCCTGATGTTTTAAGGTGTTGGTGTGAAACCTTCAGCGTCAATTGTTCAAGGACCAAGCCTTTCTCAGAGGGCAGTTGTAGAAGAAACTGTAATGCCCACTGCCGTGAGTGACATCACAGTATATGTACCAGACACAGAAATGGATCAGCTGATGGATACGTGGTAAATTATTGTTGGGATATTTCTGAGCTCTTCATCAGTACAATTTCAAGAGCAAGTTATAGTCATAACCCAAATGTCCAGTTTCTTCACTTTCTTATTCTCTGATATTATTAAAGCCAGGGGCATCTTGTTTTTCTTGAGCAGAAGCAGAAGATTGTATTCATGGTACAATATTCCATGTCAAACTAATCCTAATTTACCAACATCAAGAGACTGAGTTTCACATCCTGAATGTACTTGCCTCCATGTCTCTGTTTTGGTAATTTCTAGTTAATTAGTCATAGAGACTGCTACTGAAGACTCATTCTCTGACTAGTGCAAATCTTGGAGAGATTTCATCAGGCCACATTATTTCCATGTTATTTCTTTTAAAGATACAAGTGGCAGTTCTGTGTCTGCCAGAGGCATCATCTGCGAATGGGTTAAAACCTCATGCTGTGCATGGTAGGCACGTCTGACAATTCATGATTGTCTCGTGATTTCTCTACCAAGCTAATGATGGGGTGGGCAAGGCATTAAAATAAAGATATTGGGAGCATTTTTAATTTTTTAACAATAAGAACACTGAGGGGAAAAAAGAAGAGATGATTGAAATTAGTTGGTAAGCAGTATGGTAAGATAGCAAAAGCAGGATAATAGAAAGTGCAAAATCACATGATTTTTGCTTGGCTTGAGGAAATAAATTCCTTCAGGGATTGTTCCTTGACTGCAAAGCACAGTGGATTTTCAAGTTAACATTTGAATCTCTTTATAATTGTCACCTTCAGTTTCATGGAACTTAGCTTTTCTTTCACTGCCCATAATACTGCATTGTTCTATTGGGGCTATATTGAAATGAAATGAATAAATAATAAAAAAATAAGTGCCTTTTGTGTATAAATGACATAACATATTTTGGGTTCCAGCTCTTCTTCTTTTTTTTATAAACTTATTTTCTTGTTGCTTTAAAATGTTTACCCTGCATATAAAAGGAAGATACAAGCAGTAGTCTTATTAAAATGATAATTTAAATGTCTCAGTTGGATGTTTGCAGAGATCATCCTATGGCTTCAAATTGTTATTGTAAAACTTGGTCATTTCGGTCATTAAACATAGTATTTTTGTTGATTTAGTATTTTTTTTCCTTATTTATATAGCATGGAAATGACGGGAGAGAAAAGAAATAAAGAAATTGCTTCAAAGGTTGAAAGAAAAAAACCCAGGCTACAGGATATAACAACTGTAAAGGAAACCCCAGCAGGAACTGGCACTGTAGACACAGGAAAAAAATTGCCCAGATTGAATAAAAGTTCTGCAACTGATCAGAAAATATTGTCATATTCTCCATCTAAAATGTCAGGACCCAGCAGAAATAGAGAGAGAGATTCACAACAACATTCAATTAAAAATTACTTCCATGTAGCTTCTAAAAAAAGGTATGTTCACATTAATCTCTTATTGTTTCCTTAAATTCTATTCTTGCAGTGGAAAAACAATAAGCATCTATTCATTTTAGTAATGATATCCTCCCTTTTCAGAAGGCTGGTGTTATACTGGTTGGTGGAAATATCCAGTGGGGTTCCAGATAGTAAGATTTTGGCCAAAAGATTTTAGCCACGTTACCACATATTTCTGCAGTAACATCACTGAAAATATGGAAGTTTTCATCTGAAATTCCTGCCAACTATTTCCCCAAAACTTTGCTTATATAATATACAGTATCTGCCGACATATAAGACGACTGGGCGTATAAGACGACCCCCTCCCAACATTTCCACTCAAAATATAGAGTGGATGGCTCTGCTGCGGTGCCGGCGGCTGCTGCCCGGGGCTCTGCCCGGACCCGCCCGGGAAGTTCATGGCCGGCGATGAGGCCCAAGGAGGGCGAGGAGGAGGGGAAGTGGCCGGACAGGTGGTGGCAGTGGAGGAGGAGGGGAAGTGGGTCTCCGGTGGCACGCTCTGGCCGCTCAGGCATGGCCGGCTCTGCTTCCTCCCTCCGTCCAGAACAACTGCCTGCCTGCCTTCCTCCCCGACTGGTGCAGCCCCGCGTAACTCACTCAACGGCAGCAGCAGCTCCTTCCTGGCCCAACTGAAGTGCACCCGGCGTATAAGACGACCCCCTCCATTTCGAAGCAAGTTTTTTGGGCCAAAAAGTCATCTTATCAGCCGGCAAATATGGTACTCTATATGTTCATCAGCTTTGCAACTTTTTAGCTTAATAGTGATGATATGCAGCTCCCTACAGGTTTCCTTAATGGTAAAATCAATACGACTTGGTTAGATGGTGAAGTCATCACAAAGAAGCCCATTTGAACTTAGTGAAACTAATGAGTGCACAGTTAAATTCTTACTGCATTTATCTGGGTAATTTTGTGCCACAAAGTAGAGCCTGCTTCATAGCAACCCTAGCAGATATATATGTGAGTTGTTTAAGGAGTAGTTTTACCAGTGCCACCCCCTCGTGAGCTTCCATGTCTGAGTGGAGATTTGAACCCAGGGTCTCCTGAGTCACTCTGTTCACTTACACCATACAGGTTCTCACATTTTATTTCTAGTATCTTTATTTCTAGAGTCACTTGTTTTATACTTAGCTGTGTTTGATGAACTGGATTCAGGTGAAATCATGAGTAACTTTTGCCCACTAATTTCAGTCGAGCTCAAGTTTGATCATTTAAGTCTGAATCCAGCCAGTTGTGTCAGTTCATATTCAGTCACTGCCATTTTTAATTGTGAATATATATGATTATTATCTGCATATCTAAAGAGAAAAAGTCCTTCTGTCTTCTATTTTAAGAGAAAGAAATGAGGATGATGAAACACCGATTTCCAAGTATGCAAAAATTGAGGAGAATTTATCACTGGCTTCCAGTCATACTCAACCTGTAACTTCCTTGCGGCTGGAAAACAACACAGAAAGATCTCAAAAGGGACAGTATACCTTGAACCAAAACACAAACGACCCTTCATCATACCTGGAGACAAGTGGAAAGTCTATCACAGAGAAAGAAAAGTTAGAAAAAGCTGCTGAAAGTACCGCTACTGGAACAGATGCTTCAAAAAAGAGGAAAAAAATGGATGATTCAATAGAAGATGAAGCTTCATTAGAGCTTATTTTTGCGAGCCAAGACCTGGATTGGGAAAATGAAGTAGGAGATCATACTGAAAAGAGTGAAAAGAAGAAAAGGAAGTTAGAAAATAAAGGACAAGTTTCAGTAGATAATGAGGCCAGGAGAGTTTTGGTAAGGATCTTTTTACTGACTCCCCTGTTGGGTTCTTCAGCTTGCAACAGAGCCATAAATTTGTGTAGTACTTTACAGTATTAGTCTTTTTGCCATTTTGTAATGGGTGTTTTGAAGTAATTATATTGAAATGTTAAAAAGAAGGGAAGGAACTGTCAATGCTTCATACTGTCATAGGTGGGATGATAAGGTAGGCATGCCTAATTCAGATTTCTGGATTTCAGTTAAAAAGGGAAAAAATGAAATCAGGAGACCACGGCTAAAAGATAAATGAATCAGGAGACCAGGGGTAAAAGATAAATGAATTAGATTAGATAACCTTTTAAAAATAATTAAACAGTTTTAAAGATGTAGTAAAAACTGTCATTTCTGTTTGATACCTTTATTTGTTTATTTATTTATTTATTTATTTATTTATTTATTTATTTAGAACACTAAGGACAGTATAAAAATTTCTGGCATCCTGTCTCAACAATTTCTGAAATAAAGAGGAAGTTAAAAACTGATCTTCCCTAAAAGATTGAAGAATTGAACCAATACTCTAATTGATACAGTTTTTAGCCACTGAATTCATCTTCATTGTCGTGGTCTTAGAACTCTAGAGCTGTAGGGGACCCTATCAATCATCAGCCTCTTTCACACACTATAGCAGTGCAGAATAAGTGTTATATATGTTTATACATGTATCTCACTTTCTCTCTCCTTTTTTTTGTTTTCCAAACAGCAAGAAAATGAGCTATCTCTTCCAGCTTTAAAGCAGAAACAAGAGATAAAAGAAGAGCTACCAGAATGTGTAAGAAATGGTAAAATGTAATGGATGTATTTAAATTGACATTCAACATACCATTTTAGCAAGAGGCTATCTAGAATGACATTTGGTGGGGTTTTTAAATTAAAGGGATAATTGGCTATCAAAGATGGAAAAACTGCCCTTTTTGAATTAGTGCTTCACTTAAAAACAGTAATTAAATAGGAATATTCCAGCTAATTTGTTAGTATTTTTATTCTCTCTTCTTGCTTTATCTACATAGATAATCAAACTGTAGTTCTTTTGAACATAGTAAATAGGCAGATTTTGCTATTTCATTTTGAAAGATAGCTGTGGAATGGTTTAAACACATTGTGTTGTAATTGAGAAAGAGAATGAATTATTTGGGGAAGACTAATAATAATTTTAGAATTTCAGAGCTGGAAGGGACCCTATGGATCATTGAGTCCAGCCCTGGGGAATCAAACTCCCAACCTCTGGTGCTACAACCAGATATCTAAACCCTTGAGCTATCCAGCACTTAGATGAGAAAAACTTAAGTTTATTAACAGCAATTGGTAATGCAGTTTTCTTTGATGAAGTGAACTTTTTTAGAAAGTTGGAGTTGTCTGGAAAAACAGGAAGATATCCTTGGTGAGTACAGGGGCCACTTTTCGCTCTTTGGAACCTTCCCGGGATGACACAAACTAGCCAAAAATAAAACAAACACCCAGAAGTGGCTAGAAGGCCATTGGCAGTTTTGAAAAACTGTTATTTATTTTATTTATTTATTTAAAAGATTCATACCCCACCTTTCTCCTCAAGAGAACCCGAAGCAGCTTACAATATTAAAACCAACAATTTAAAAACTAGACAGGGATTGGAAAAAAAACAGAAAAACCAACAGTCCAACTTTTAGGCAAGTGGTCTTTGCCTCCCTGGGAAAGGATAGCAAAGAAGGGGCCAGCTTGGCCTCCTGTGGGAGGGAGTTCCACAGCTTTTAAAGCCTCTTTTGAGCTTTTAAATCAAAGTTGAATAATCTCAGGAGGATTGGGGGTTAAATAGCACCCTCCATGAACTGCACTGAGCTCAGAAATAGCCATGAGCAGGAACTTCTGTTTTGTTTTATTTTTTTTGAAGAGTGGCCTTGGGGGCTGCAAAAATGGCAGGGGGCTCATGATGGTTAGCCCTGTAGTAGTTGGCTCAGTGGTGGCATATGTCTTATTTAAATGGAAAGTCCTGGAAGCTTATAGAGAGTAAGCGAGGTCTAGGAGGCATCAAATAGATATGGCCCTACAGTCCCTAGGGCCACCCTCTTCCCATCACATCTTAAAATGTAATCTAAATAATACTTTGATTCTCCAGCAGAAATATGATGATTTAATTCATTTGAATTACCTTAATAATTGCTCTCTTATTCTGTCTTTCTCCATAATAAGAATCCTGATAAATCTGCAAGTGACTCTCATCTACCCAGCAGGCTTTTGCTGACTGAATTTAGATCATTGGTTGTTAGTCAGCCGAGGAGAGGTGGTGGGTGTGCTACAAAAACAGACTATCGGCCTCTGAACAACTTTAAAAAATTTAAAAAGGTTTGTATATGCTTTTAAGCGGTCAAGAGAAGGCATTGTGTGCAATTATCAATAAGAACTCTATGTTTAAATCCAGTGATTTTCTACTGTAGCAGTGAAAGTCTTGTTGCCACAAAAACAAGAGAGAGGGTCATGGCATCTTAAAGACTAATTTAATTGTGGCAGGGGCCATAGAAAAATGTTTGTCTTTAAAACACCGTGGCATTTTTATGGAGTTGATAAGTGAGTTCTAATTTTTTAAAAACTGCATACAACAATAAGTCTTCTGTGTTTATAAAATGCTGTGAGGCTCTTTGTTGATTTGAGTGGAATGTTAGCAGTGCAGTGAACAGCTTAAAATTTATTTTGCTTACTGTGGATAATGAGATTGTTCTGCATTCAGAATTCATTTGATTGACTATTAAGGAGTATAGGATTGGTGGAAGATTCAGTTCAGCTGTCTGTTCTTAAAAACTTCACTTCTTGGTGTTAGTCAAAGTACTAAAATCCATATGCCAATACCTTTCTGCATATGGTACGGTTTGTAGAAATAAATGTGATAGATGTGTTTTCCCCCTTGCTTCATTCATACATGACCTTGGGAGGTTGTGACCAAAGTTACCAAGCTGGGTGGAGGATGCTGGGAGCTGTAGCCTGACAAAAGTAACTTTTCCTAGCTTTACTTATGTGTGGCAAGGAGGAGAAAGCAGACAGATTTTAACTATATCAAATACCTGATTTGAAGGGGAGAACTCAATGAATGCTCCTTTCTTTCCATTTAACTGTGTCCACATTGGTGACATGCATGCAGGAACAGTGAGTGGTGTATGATGATCTGAATCATTTCTCTTGGGTAAATGCTGTTCTAAGCAGTGTGCTGCACTCTTTTGGTGCAGTTCTAAAATTTATTGCACCAGGTGACTCAGAGTAAGCTTCCATTAATAATACTGTATTAAAAGCTCCTGTTTCTAAATTGCATTGCTCTTGAGTACTTTTTCCACTGAAATCCTGGTTGCTGCTCTTCCAAACAGCATATTTAGATCATTCAATCTCATTTGCAATGTTGGCAGGGGTATTTAAGAAGTCTTTGAATTTTCAGTATGTGTTTTGACTCATCAAGGCTTGCAACGATGCATAGCAGTATTAACAGTGTAGTTTTTAAGAGAAAAACCATTATACATTATGTATCTCATATTGTAGTTTCCCCATTGTTTCATTTCTGTATAACCCAAATGTTATTTAGTGTTGAGTGTAACAAAACTCAGCAATTGTATTTTATGCAAGATATTTTATATAATGGAAAGGATTCTATAGACATGTTAGGCAGCAGTAATAGCAGTGGATATTCTTGTTGTGTTGAGCTTTATTGTAACCGAGATGAAACACAAACAGCAATTTTATTTCTAAAATAAACAATATTCCAATTGTTCATAGAGAGGCTTTTTCTTTAAGTGCATAGATTTGGGACTCCTTGTATCTGGTGGTTGCACAGGCAAAAATGATTGACACAACCAACCATCCATTCTCTTTCCCATTACCAAATGTTCTGCAGAGAATCTGCCCCCTCTTCCCCCCTGCCCAGTGGGAGTTGTGCTGTCAAGGTCCGCAGAGTGAAGGGTGAATTGCCTACTATTCGTGATGGCCCTTCCACTATCTGTAGCACAATTTTAGAGGAAAGGAAAGAAGAGGGAGGTTGCACAAGCTGCCTTTCTCTCATACAGCCACTGAGTGTGAGCTAGTGAAAGTTTGTGTGTATTCTACTCAACAGGTAACTTACCCTGGAGCAGGACAGCTTCCACATATTATTGGAGGATCAGATTTGATAGCTGCTCATGCTAGAAAAAATTCTGAGATGGAAGAATGGCTGAGGCAAGAAATGGCGGTAAAGAATATTAATATTTCCTTTGTTTACACATGGTTCATTGCAGAATATTAATGTTTGATTTAACTTTGCTTTTTTGTCATTGCTGCTGCTGTTGCCTTCATATCTCCTGTTTTCTCTTTTTCTTCCACCATATTATCTTACACATTTTCTTGTCTTATATTCCACATTTTCATACTTCCAGCAATCCTGTGAGATAGCTAGGCTTGAGAGATAATGGGTGGCTCAAGGTCACCCAGTTAGCTTCATGCTCAAATGTTATGGACGTACAGTGGTGCCTCGCATAGCGAGGTTAATCCGTTCCGGATTAACCATCGCTATGAGAAACATCGCTGAACGGAACAAAAAAAACCATTAAAACTCATTAAACTTGGTTTAATGCGTTCCAATGGGCCCTAAACTTACCGTTGAGTGAAGCTTCTCCATAGGGGCGGCCATTTTCGCGGGAAAAGTTGCGGCGGCCATTTTGGAACCGCCGATCAGCTGTTCTCCCCCACTTCGTTGTGCGAAAATCGCTAAGCAAATCGCTTAGCGATCGTCGCATAGCGAAAAAACGCCATAGGGGCCATCGCTGAGCGAACGCTCCAGCGATGGCCCGGACCCCCTCGCTATGCGAATTCATCGCTCAACGGAGCGATCGCTAAGCGAGGCACCACTGTATCTCCATCAAACACTAACCACTCATAGGCACAAAATGTATTATACTTAAAGATAACAGATGGTTGTTTGTATTATATACTGTGAGGAAATGGATGATATGGGGGTGCTTTAACAGGTTTTTATTAGAACCTTCTTTGGGGATTTTTCAAGCAAAAAAAGTAACAGATGAATGTGTCAAATATGTTACAAATGTAAGTAGACTGAATTCAAGAGAAAGTGTAAGGAAGCAATGGCATAACACAGGCTCATGGCCTGTGTGTAACAAGGAGACTTATTTATTCTGCACACTGTTTTGCTTACTGCTCCAAATAATTCTTAATATTGTGATAGTCTTATGAGAAGTAGCAGGCTTCAGCTGGCTGGATGTACTTGTGCATACCTACCTTGGGTAAGGTCTTTCTGAAAGCCATATGTGCAGGTCTCAAACACTGGCAGATTTTTCTGTACTTAGAAGACCACTGGGTATGTAGCACATGGTACTGCTGCAGTTATGACCATGAATGATGCCTCAGGTGGAGTGGGATTGTGGAAGACTAGGCAAAGGTCTGTGTCTGTTTTCCCTACTCACATAATATTCCAAAGCTTTCCAAGGCACATACTGTAGAAGAAGCTTCTGATGAGGCTCATGGAGTGGCAGTAGGAAGGAGGAGGTGGGCATCTACCTTAGATAAGTGGGGATGTACTTTTGCAGCTGTAGATACTTTTTTGATGCATTTACAATTGAGTTATGTGGTATGTATAAGGATATCCTTGGCACAGTCCTTTAAACAAACATTTTATTTTTCTAGGAACAGTCACGCCATGCAAGAGAAGAATCACTTGCAGATGATCTCTTCAGGTAAAGGGCTTATTTTCAGTAACAAAATCAAAGACTACTTACAATGCATGAGATAACACATAAATATTTCTGAATACAAAGCTCTAACTGCTTGTGATTGCCGGTTCTTGCCTCAGTAACAATACTACTACAACTAATAATAATATAACAACAAGAATAGCAACAGCAACACTTTGCAGCAGGTGCTAATTTGCTTCCTGAAATCCAAAAATCACATCTCACCTGCAGATTCTTAGGACTTGATTTCTCACTTTTAGGCTGGACTGTTTTGTCCATTCCCAAGCACCAGTAACACTGAGAAATCATTATCTGTAAGACCAACATATGGAGTCTTTAAATAAACAGCTAAGTACACCAAATCAATCGATAACTCCTTGGAAAAGAATGACGTTATGTTTGAGAGGATTGAGTAAGGATAGCATTCTTCTCCATCCATGTTTCTGGAAAGAGAGAGCTATTTTTTTACCTTGAATCCACTGGACATAAATCATCTGCCATTTGCAGAGGATCCTGGATGTTGGGTCATTGTGGGCAGTTAGCCTTTAGTCAAACCAAGAGAGAGAAGAAATAGTTTCTGCAGGTAATCTGGACACATGGTAGTGCTTTGCTTGCTGTGTGACAAGAAGAACATTTAGAAGAGTGTTCCTTCAGACCAGAGGTCCATCCAGTCCAGCATTCTGTTCAAACAGTGGCTAGTCAGAGAATATAAGAAGAGCCCTGCTGGATCAGGCCAATGGCCCATCTAGTCCAGCTTCCTGTATCTCACAGTGGCCCCTCCAGATGCTTCTGGGAGTACACGAGACCACTAGATCCCTGTGTCCTGATGCCCATCCCCTGCATCTGGCATTTGGAGGTACCGTCCTTTTAAGCCTGGAGATTATACATCCCCATCATGCCTTGTAACTTGCGATGGACTTTTCTTCCAGAAATCTACTCAATACCCTTTTAAAGACATTTAGGCTAGATGCCATTACCACAAACTAACAACATGTTGAGTCAAGAAATCTTTTTTTTTTTGTCTGTTCTCACTCTCTCAACACTCAATTTGAGTGGATGTCCCCTGGTTCTGGTGTTGCGTGAGAGGGAAAAGATCTTCCCTCTATCCACTTTATCCATCCCCTGCATAATTTTATACGTCTCAATCAGGTCGTTCCCCCTCAGGTGCCTGTTCTTTAGACTAAAGAGCCCCAAACACTGTAGCCTTTCCTCATAAGGGAGGTGCCCTAGCCCAGTTATCATTTTAGTCGCTCCCCTCTGCACCTTTTCCAGTTCCACTATGTATTTTTTGAGGTTTGGCAACCAGAACTGTACACATTACGAAAGGTATGGTCTTACCATCGATTTGTACAATGGCATTATAATATTGGCTGTTTTATTTTCAACCACCTTTTAATGATCCTTTTTAATGAGACATGGGAGTTCCCAAAAATGTGTTTATAGCATTGCAGTGAAATTGGCTATAGATCATTTGCAATGATGAATCTATAATAACAGGCCAACCTATGGTCCATTATTCACAGTCTGTTTTTGATATCTGTTCAGTTAGTTGAACATTAGTTGACCTGAGCTCCCTGGAAAGGAACTGCCATTGTACATCATGATATTGTAATCTGTCCAGAGTAGTGGCTGGGCCCCAATAAAAATTTGAATGAATGAATTGAATTAAATTAAATTGAAATCCCTAGGACACTGTTATACAGATGTTCATGTCTTACATCCTTGCCAACCTCGGCTCACTGGGTGGCTCTGAGATGTGGAATGTGCACTCTGAACAGGTTCAAAGATGGGGAGGTGGCTCTCAAATAAAAATCTTGTAAATTTATGCATGAATGATTCAGACAGCCATGCATGTCTAGTGTGCTCAGGTTAAATTGCCTATTTTGAATTGGATTTCAGAATATTTGAAGAATTGCCCCTCATATAAACTTACAGATAGGTTTGGATCTACATCAAAGATCTCAATTTTTGTTTTGTTTTTGTTTTGTTTTGTTTTGTGGTTTTTGTTCTTATTCCCATATGGGCACTGGAGGCAGGCATGTCATGACTCTTAACTATTTAGTGCCCTCCCAGAGGAATCAAATGTGGCCATTTCAACAGGTTTGCTGCTTGTTCTGAGAGTTAACTACTCTGTTACAATTCAGTGACTTTATTATGTTTGCATTCGCCATTCTGGGAGATTTACAGATTTTCCCACACAGTCTTCCCTTCTCTACCTTGCAACAGGCTGGAAGGGAGATGAAGCTGAGAGACCATGACTGGGGGAAGGTCATCCAGTCACTTCACCTAGTAGGGATCTGAACATGCATTTTCTCAGTTCTAGACAGACATATTAAGTACTACATTGTCCCAACGTCTTTATGGTTTTGTGGAGCAGGATGATACTGTTACTTTACTAGGTAAAGGTAAAGGTTCCCCTTCGACTCTATGGGGCGGTGCTCATCCTCGATTCCAAGCCATAGAGCCAGTGTTTTGTCCGAAGACAATCTTCCATGGTCACATGGCCAGTGTGACTTAGACACGGAACAATGTTACCTTCCCACCGAGCTGGTTCCTATTTATCTATTCGCATTTTGCATGCTTTCGAACCGCTAGGTTGGCGGGAGCTGGGACAAGCGACGGGCGCTCACTCCGTCGTGTGGATTCGATCTTATGACTGCTGGTCCTCTGACCCTGCAGCACAGAGGCTTCTGCGGTTTAGCCTGCAGCACCACCACGTTAATTTACTACTGTTCTATAATTTGCTTTTTTTTTGTTATCAGCCACTTTGAAGGTATTTTTTATGTATATATATAAGCAGAGGAGCTTAACATTCATGTGAATGACCTGCACATTTAACTTTACATTTTAGAACCATGCATTCTTTTTTATATTTCTTTCTTTTCTCGTTTTATAGATATGATCCCCATACAAAAAGAAGATAGTTGTTTCTTGAGCCAGACCTACAAAAGAAGAAAATATTTCCAGCTTCCTTGCTGGAAAGAATTGATTTTACATTGATCATACATCCTGGGAATCTCTCTTAATTTCATGACAAAGAAGATGGCGTTGCTGCTTCTAAGACTTCATAGTGCTTCAATTATAATTACAACTATCAATAGGTCAAAAAATTATCTGACCACAGCCCGGAAGGATTTTGTAATGTTGGTGGCTTTTTGGCCCTGCCCTCTCAGTACAAAGGAACTGTTAAAATCAGATGCAGAGAGGAACTTTGCCTGCCTTCTACTAATCTCTCCCCATCAAGCCTTTTCTCACCTTCTGAAAGCAGACAAACAACAGAAGAATTTCACCCTAAATGACACATAACATTGTGGTTACAATGTCAGATGCAAGGAATTGTGAGAAATGCCTCCCCCCCCCCCCAGCCTTACTGGCCAATGTCAGTAGCACCGGGGAATTGATATCCAGCATTCCTTTTGTTGGCATGCAGACATTTAGTGTTCCTCTTTCCATTGCTATCATTGTCAGAGCAGCAAGAAAATCAAGCACACTCACCTTTCCGAGAAGGAGCAGGAAGGTGAGTGTGCAGTTGTTGGATGTCCATACAATGGTTTTGGGAAGAAATAGGCACCGTTGTCTATTGTCAGTGACCTCAGAGATGCAGTAACGTTCAAAAGTAGTGTGCACTTGCTTTGGAAAATCCATGTGCTTTGCAAGAATGGGATTAATTATTCTGTTTTTTTAAATAGCTCATTTCTGATACTGACTAGTCATTGCTTATTACAGTGCATGTTAAGGCCTGTAAAATTCATTTTCTGGCTACATTTTGGAAATGTTATACTATATTTCAATTTTTTTAATAGAAGCACATTAAAATCACACTGACTCTTTTAAGAGGGACTATTGTTTTAGCATTCTTTCATCTTGATATGATTGCCCACAGAATCAGGATTGATGTTTTTAAAAATATGATGTGGACTTTGTAGAACAGATTGCTGACTCTTATATCATTTTGCACCTCTCAAATGGGTGTTGTCTCTTTTTACTAAATTAAGGTATTTTATTTTTTAGATTAATAGGAAATATTTCCTTATTTTGATTAACATGGTCACAATTACTGATTAGTTTAAGAGAAGCTATGTGTATAATGCATATTCAAAATTTTCTGTTTTGTGGACTTTCAATCTAGTTATGCCTTTTTCAAAAGCATGCTGTTGTCTCACTTCATGCCTATCATACTTCTGTTATACCTCAAGAATGTCAAATGTGTTGTTCTTCCATAGTATCCTATCTATACTCTGGATATAGGCAGGTTTAGAGTGTCTTCTTTCAAAAATGTCAGTTTGATATAGATGCCGTATCTGCACCACTGCACATTTGGTTTAAAAAACTGAAGAACTGTGCCTGTAAACTGACCCTCTCTTCCATGTTTCCAAGGAGTTCTGACTCCAGTAGTTGTTGGTATTCATTTGTGTAACCAGAGCAATAAATTTTTTGCAGGGAATTTTGTTCTTGATTCCCCTGGCCTCTGAGTTACAGCATTTCAGCAACTTCTTTCATATAGTCTTCCTGGAAACACTGGTAATAACTACCAGTAAATGCAAGAGAACAGACATATGGAGAAGACAAATATTTGTTGCCTGTGGTATAAAATATTTCTCAGTCTGTTTATTTCAGAATTGTGTGTGCTTTGCCTAAATGACAGTTGCAGTTCTGCTAGTTTTGGGGAGACTTATTCTACCTGTAAGTAAGTACATCCCATGTAAGCTCCATCCACCCATCAATATTCTGACTCATGTTGGGGGTGGGCGATATATAGGTATAGTATCCTCTTCAGACTGTTGCCTTCATGTGTTGAAAGTCTGAAGAGGTAGAGCTAGTGTGTTCCTCTCAATGTGATTTCCACATACTTGATTATTGATTGAATAGGATTAAAATCTGTTTCCTATGTTGGATATATTTCCTTGGAGTTACTTCAGATTATAGAGAAGAGTCATTTATCAGTTACAGTTGTTAAGATAAACTTGTATAGAATTTCTTGAAAGGATTCCTGGCATTCACCTAATCTATATTTGTCTCTAGCCCTAAAGTAATAACTGACACTTTCCCAGATCGCAAGTCTGTAAAATGTATACATGGTGGTTTAAGGTTGCCATTAAAACTAAAGATATAAACCAGAAATAGCTCTGGTGTTCAGCATATGAAACTGTTGTTCCACACTGCATGTGACTTCCCTCTTTGTGGTATTAAGGAATGCTGTCCTTTCTTTATTACATGGCAGTCCTTGTCAGCCATTACCTCTCTTACCAAACAATATCAAGTTCAAAATAACACACATCAAGCATCATTGTACATCGTCATTATTCATTTACGTAATTTATTATTGCAACCTTCCTTGCCGACATGACTAAATGTCTTCCAGTTTGTCCGCATCTTGAATTGTGCATACATGATCTTGACCCACTAAAATGGTAGTATCAGTATTTTGGTCTGAAAAAGCTGTATTTCTGTCTCATTCGGCTACTGTTCTAATAGCATTGTGGAACAATTGTTAAATGGTCATTAAAAGGAAATTGAAGTCAGCAGCTGTCAACTCAAGACACCATGTTAGCTGATGGATATGCCAGAAGCTATTCAAATGATCAGGATGGTTATATGATACAGGTCTCTGCGTGAATATACTACTTCATACGTATGGGGAACTGCTTAATTGAAAGCATAATGCTTCTCTAAAGAATATATTCTGCAAATCATACAGTTTTATTTAATTCTGGTAAGTAGCTCTTTTCTGCATATAGCTCACAGAAAGTGACTTTGGCTATTTGCAATTTAGTCATGCTTACCCTGTAAAATACTTTAATAATCTGTAGTTGACACTGCCATGACTATTATACAGTTCTAAAATTGGAACTGCCTCGGATACTACAAAAAGTCCTTTTTGGCTGTCAGCTCAATCCAGTACAGTAGGAGTTTTAGTTTCTTCCAAGTGATTAACTGTGGTGCCTAACCCTCAGAACTTGGGTATAGATATCCTATTCTTCTCTACTTGGGTTTCAAATTCTGTAACTAGTTTAGAAAAGTAAAGCAGGATTATATTGTTATTCTGACTTTAATGCTAATTTAGTCATTACATTTCTGTTGCACAGATATTCAAGCAAGCATCGAAAGATTTTCTACTTGTTCCAAAGCTAAAATAGGCCTTTTAGTGGTACAGCTGTGCTTTATGGGAAAAAGGAATACAGTACTGCTAATCTTTGCCTTAGTTTTGAGATATATAAGAGTAATAAGACCTTTCTCTCTATAGAGATTTGGTATGTGGGAGTATTTGAACCAAGCCTGCTCATTTTAACAGCGTATTATGGAAATGCTGTTATAATTCAAACAAAATTACTTACTCTTTTAGTTCCTTCCATATATTTTGAGTTTACATAAAGAGAATGTATGTTGCATAATCTTTGCTACTAGGGATTAGTAGTAAATATGGTTTCCTACCTAAGATTCTCTGAACTAGGAAGTTTAAAGATGTCATTTTGCCCTTCAGATATAATTGAGTCTCAAGGCACACATAGAACCATCATTATCACACACTTTAAATTGAAGCTATGAGATTGTCTCTAAGGAGTTAGCTCCAATTAGAAAAAGGAACATCAATTTGCGATGGCAAAGCCATCTAAAAATAACAGAAGGCAATCAACAGCTTTTCTGATCAATTTAATTTCCACTTACCTAAAGGTACTTCCATTTTTGGTATCACTTCAATCAGTAAAAATTGTGAATCTGCTATCCCAACACTTATTCAAAACCCAGAGGTTCATCTTTAACATTAGAACTAAGCATTTTAACCTATCAGCATTTAATGTCTTAGTGAAGCACCTTAACTGGAGGAGCTTAGCATTAGTGTCTGGGTGGTGTTCAGGATTCAAGTCTGATAACTACTAGAATAAGAGGTTAATGAGACTCATGTAACATAACTCCTTCAGCTGCTTAATGAGTTGCAAAACAGTTGGCACTATGATTACCAAACAATGTCTTGCCCTCTTTCTTTCTGGTGCTTGTATCTCTGAATGCTAGCTAAGTGTCCTACTTACACCTTCATCATGGAGTCTTGCTTTGTCTGAAGATGAATGTGTTGGTGGTGGAATGCCAGGTACTATAGTAGTACATTGTAGACAGTATCGTGGCAATTCCATAGGGGTGTTGTGAGGATACTGTACATTTAAATGAGGTTACTTAAAATAAGAATGGTAGAAATTACCCGCTTTTGACCCTCACGCTCTGAAACAAATAGGCAGCTCTGGCCCTTCATGTTTTTCAGCTGCAACTTTCATAGTGTTTCCTCACCATTAGCTTTGTAGTCTAAGGCTGATGAGAGCTGTAGGCAAAAAACATAAGGCTACAGTTGCCCACTCCTGCTCTGAAACATCAGTTTTGATAGACTCTTCTAAAGATGGTGAACTTCATGGAAAAAAAGTCACAGGTAAATTCTATTTGGCATAGGCATAGGCTGAGCAACTTACACATTCTGTGACTGAAGCACAGAATTTCATGACTTCAGAACTCCAAGGTCTAAGAATGTCAGCCAAGATGTATAACTCACATGTATTCAGAAGCTGCACTCAAAACAACAGCAACTAAAAGATGGAAGTGACGCAAGTTTTCCTTCCATATGGATTACTGAATATAATATTCCAGACATTATGATGGCCACATTGCAAAAATACAAAATAATTGATTTTCCCCCACCACAAACACACACATTGAGCTATACCAAACTTCATGCAGTCTGGATTTAATATTAGAATGACCAGTACTTTCTAGCAAAGAGAGCTGTGGAAGTAATTCCTATTCTTTTTTTTTTAATTAAAGGATTCTCTGAATTATTGCCAATCCCAGTCCTGATCTCAATTTTAGTCCTAATTTGGCTGAACTTTTACACAATTGTAGAAGTTACATAAAGCATCACTATCCTGCCTACTTGAAATGTAAGTAGTGAATTAATTGTCTAATCATGGTCTATTTTTACAACATAATTCAAACTAGTTACTGAGAAAGGCCTTAATAGCCCAAAAATGAGAAGTGGCTTCTACTTTATTGTAAAGGCTAATGAAGCAACACATTCAAGCCCTATGGATGTTTCTGACTAAATAATATGTATACTTTAAAATTGTGTCTGCTTACTCCTATTTGCACTAATGAAGAGGAGGCCTTAATCACTGTGTAGTGCTACTTATGGTGAACAAGCAGATAATGATGCTGCAAAGAATTAGCTCTGGGCAGTTAATGTTCCTCATGCCTTTGTATTTATTAAATTACTTCACAATAGTTTAAAGAGTCATGTCTTAAAATATACAGTGGCTATGATCCAACTGTTCACATGCATCTAAGTTCAACATATGTGCATATTTAATAAATGTTCAATCTGCATTTTTATTTGGCTAAGTTTTTAAAAGTTGTCTACTCCTTGGAAGGGGACTCGGGGAAAAAAACCCTCAACAAATCCTGATGTATACACACTTTCTCTTGCGTACAATGGTTGTCTCTTTGGGACACAGTGAATTTGACTTTTACATGCCTCTTAAGTCGGAGGTGGCAAACCTGAGTTTACAAACATAACATTCGTAATTTTAAGTCCAACCAACAGGCACAGTGTTTACGCATACAGACGGAGAGAATGTATTTGAGAGAGAAAAAGGCAGCTGTAAGGAATGCCTTGCTTTTATTTAAAATCTTATCAGCAGATCCTGAGGTTCTCTGTATTAACGTACTGTACAACCCCCCCCAAAAAATGGAAAGCAGGCATATTTGCAAAAGGAGAAAAATAGTATCTCTGACTTCAGAAGTACTGAACATCCTTTTAATCCCACATGCAACATGAACTCAGAATTACTATGTTATGTACTGTACTCCACAATAGACAAGGGGGGGGATCTGAATTAGTACAAGTATTTTCCCTTTTGCTAGGTTATTTCTTTCCTTATCCATAATGCCATTAATGTAACACATTCAGGTTTTTCTCACTAGTGCTTGTTCAATTATTAGCAAATACTACAGGCTTAAAAATTCTCTTTAGTAAGCAACTGACTGCTATAAAATGTTTGGGGGACTGTGGATAAGAGAAATAGAAACTGTATTGGGAAAAATATCTGCTGTGCATACCTGATATGTACTGGTGGAGACCAGTCAAAAGGTAATCCAGAGTTAAGTACTGTATGCTTAAGATACATAGAATCAGTGGTGTTTTAAGTATGCTTAAAATACATAGAACCAGTGGTGTTTCAGAGCTTAAGTATGCAATAATGCATCAAAATTCTTTCAGAGTATTTAAAAGAATCACATACTCTGTTTCTAGTGCTGCAGATTCCATGGTTAACAATTTGTTGCTCTGCAGTAACAGAAACAAAATAAAGGTTCTTCCCTGCCACTTATGCTTCTTTGGATGATGACCAGTGGATTGAAATTTCAGATTCAGCTTTCTGAGTTGTGGGGTTGGAGTGTGAGTGAATGTTTAATAATAGGGCCTTAGTACTGCTAAGTACACTACTAAGTACCCCACCCCCAATTTCAGAATAGGCACAATTAATGGTGAGACCTTGGCACACTCAAAATGAGTTCAACTCCTTTGCTGGGCTTTGGCTAAAAGAGTCCTTTTACCAATAAATGAACTGAGATTGAACAGGCTGTAAGATAAACACTCTGCTTCCATTAATGTTTGGACTACAATAGTACATTCATTAAAATATCTGTCATAGTGATGCCGTAAAGTGGGCTTGTAGGGCACTTTGTTTTAACATCATTGCAGTAGAGGCCAAATCACTGGCACCACACCTTTGTTACAGTGTATCTCCATTTTAATGACAATTGTTTCCAATTACCAATGGAAGCTAAATATGTGGTATGCTCTCCACCAGCAAAAAAATACTTCATATGCCACTTTAAAATGTTTGATGTGGTTGCTATTGGAGTCAAGATGAAGCAAATATATTTTTGCAGCAAATATGCTGCTGAATATTTATCTTAACGTGAAATTCTCACACTTTGACCTAGTTTTGCAAAAACAGCTATTTGATGGGTAAAAACTTTCTTTTGTAGAGAGGAATTTTCACTAGGATATGAAACCAAAGCAAATCAACATGAGTTACTGTAATTTACTGTTACTTGAACTGGAAGCAGATCCAAGAAAACAGTATCTTTGTATTTGGCAAAGGCTGGAATAATCCTCCTCTAAAAGGCAATGCAAGTATGCAGAACTGGTATATATAACAAAAACAAGGCTGCCAATGACTTTAGATGTTAATGCATCACTTATTAGCATATTCTGTAGTTCTTTGGATAATGTTTATGGCTGTTTGCTTTAGAGTACTCCATCTCTTTCTCTTTCAACTATGAATGGATGCTTCTTTTTCTGCTTTGTAGACAAATATTGTGTAATACCCAGTGCACCTCCTTTTAAAAACCGTACAAAGTTGTCTCCAACCAGTGGACCTACAGCAAAAAGATTGGGTTCCTTTGTGCACTCATAGGTATATGGGTCAATTTCAATAGGGTTACCCTTGCAAGTAATTGGCTCATTTGGATTATGGCCTATACCTTGGCCTTGGTCCTTTAGGAAGCATAGGTTGGGATGTGAACCTATTAATACTACGGCTACAGAGAACTTTAAGATCTTCTTCAATCCAGAGGCACTCTGAAGAACACACTTCATATCTGGCTGAAATGAAAGTACCTGATGTTCAGGAAAACTTGTATAGCCAGGATGTAAATTATAGGCCGTAGTAACTGACTGAGTACACATCATATGGTAGACCTTATGGTATTCTGGGTATATTTTTTTAGGCAACTGTTTGAAAATTAAATTTGGATCAGTGACTCTCCTACGGAATGTATGGATTACAGGAATGTTGTTGTTATAAGCACAGAGAACTGCATCAGCAGCTGTGAGTCCACCACCTACGATTAAGACTGGGTCAACTTTCCCATGTAATATTCCTTTGTTGATGGCTGTACCAAACTCAGCTATGGAATGGAGCACAAAGGGAAAGTCTTCTCCTTCAACATGGAGCCATCCGGGAGCATCAAAAGTTCCAGTGGCAAGAGCCACGTTCTCAGCAAACAAACAAAATGGCACATGAGAGCCATCTGCTGCTCTCTGATAGCCTCTGATTTCCCAGTTTCTCTTGATCAGGGTTATTTGTCCACCTTGTTCTTCTGACTGCAAATGTGGCAAAACATCTTCATCCACTTGACTTTCATCTTCATGCTCCTGTTTTCGACTAAGCCTTGACACGGATGTTATGTACGTATTTTCTCGGATGTTCTTCTGCAGGCCCATGACTTTAACATAGTGCTTGTAATAACTAGCAACCTCTTCTGGAAGAACTCTGTCACATGTTACAGTTCTGAAAAAATATGAGATTTGTAGTTATCCACATTAAGTTTAATTTTCACATTCACAAGAGAACCACTTATAAGGTTCGAAAAGATACTCTTTGAACTACAACTACCAGAATACCCCAATTCTTAGAATCATCTGAAAAACTCAACTTCCAAGTCTGATTATACTGCCACTTCTAGGTCAGAATCTCAAGGAAAGCATTTTGAAATTGAAATAACAGTGGATATGTTCCTTATTCACAGAAATATTTCAAGTTACAGCTCTTAAGTACTATAAAAATCAGTAGCCAAATTCATAATGTAACTGAGCTTCATGAACAAAATGTTGAATTAGACAGTAGCTCCTATTTATATAGTATCATGGTTTCAATAGTCTTAAAATAAGTGCAGGCAAATGCTTTGACAGAAAACTAAAGCCTCAATGTGGCAACAGCTCCAAAATAAATTACCAAACGTAAGATTGAAAAACTGGCTTTAGAACAATCAGATCTCAATATGGATGCAACTATTTTAAACAATTATTTTGTAATAACAAAATCAGTAATGGCCAGAATCTGACTGCATTACATAGTCGTATACAGTAACAGAAATCATACAAACAATAGGAGGTATTTTGCTGGCTGCTATAGTGCACTTTGTAGTCTTCTAGACATGCAGGTGACAGCCACCATTCCATATGCACTATTGGACAATAAGATTCAATGAGATTTTGGCTAAAGAATGTTGCTACAAATTTAACAGGTATTATGTATTTCATGAGCTGCAAGTATTTTTTTTTCCGATCATACTGAAGATCACAAAGTATTATGTCAAATAAATCTTGTTGGCCTTTAAGGTGCCACAAAACTCCTTGCTGTTTTTTCAGGAACAGCTTAAAACAGGTTCAGAAGATCTTTACCCAGGACAACAAGTGAGATATGTTTTGAATAGAATCAGGGCTAAAGTGAGTGAATTGCATCAGAAATTATGATTTTGTTTGGCTGTGCTAAGCTTCCAGAAATACCTATATGTATTTCTTTGTTCTTTACCATTTTTGTAATTTTTAATTTATGCCCCAAAACATGTCTCTGTGATATTCCTACCTTCTCTTAGCTTAGCAATAATCCAACCTGTTAATGCCTTCTGCTTGGTTCATATACCAGTTAAAGGAAGGGTAAGCAAGCCCTAGGCCCTTTTTTCCAGATCCAAAAAAGAAGATGGGCCCTCAATAGAATTCCTCCTCTCTGTTAATAAACAGGGCCCTGGTTTGGAAAGGTGAGAGCTACTAATTTAATGTGTTTTTTTAAATACCAAGTTAGCTCCTCTTTTGGTTTTTCATAGAAGCTGGATGGTGACAGAAACTATATGGGGAAATAAAATCAAAGCAATTACTGTATATGCTGGCATACAAGACGCCTGGGCATATACGACGACCCCCCAACATTTCCACTCAAAATACAGAGCGGACGGCTCTGCTGTGGCGCCGGCGGCAAGGCCCGAGGAGGGCGAGGAGGAGGGGAAGCGGCCGGGCGGGCAATGGCAGCAGAGGAGGAGGGGAAGCTCTCCGGCAGCGGGCGGGCGGGCAGCCCGGAGGCAGGCTCTGGCAGCTCAGGCATGGTCAGCTCTGCTTCCCTCCATCCGGACCGCCCGCCTGCCTGCCTGCCTCCCCAGCCGGCGCGGACCTGTGTCACTCACTCAACGGCGGCGGTAGCGGCTCCTTCTGGCCCAACTGAAGTGCACCCAGCGTATAAGACGACCCCACCACCACTTGGAGGCATGTTTTTTGGGCAAAAAGTCATCTTGTACACCAGCAAATACAGTATGTCAAAATTTTCTGCTAAAACAAATGACAGCAAATAGAATGTACAACAAAGGAACAAAATGTCAGAATTTGTATATCTTTCTTAAATTACGAAGGGAAAGGTTCAGCCTCAGAATTCTGAACCTGGTCAGTGTGGTTTATTGGTGCCAGTTCAAAGTTTCTACCATATTTTAAGTACACTACCAAATCTGAGCTAAAAACAAAAAAACAAAAAAACCCAAACCCTAAATATCAATGAAGCATCTATATGTCACATCCTGTAACACTGATTGAGGCAGTGTACTAAAATAAACAAGATAAAAAATTAGTAGACTATTCTATGTATCACAAATCTTCACAAAATCTTATATATATTTTGTTGTAAGGCAAGGGGATTTATATAACGCCTGTGTCTGTCTCAGAATAATACTACTATAAAACCAATGCTTATAAGGCTATAAACAGTACTTGAAAATTTGAATAGTGCAGGTGCCTGGTTACTAGTGGCGGAGCACAACAACATCATTTGCTATCAGTAAACCACTACCATGCTATAAATTGAGGGGCATCTGCACTTTGGGTAAACAAACTTTGCAATATAGATTTGTGCTCCTCAGGTTCTGCCCCCATCTTTTCAACTTCTGAAACAACCTGTTTCACCCACTAAGTATTTCCAGATATCCTACTGCAAGTTTCCAATGTAAGTGTGCATCTTTTCTTCCTCTCAATTTCTAAAAGTACATTTCAATATTTATGCAATAGTATTGTACCAGTTGCATATTATTGTGGGTGTGGAGTACCCTGAATACAAACTGCTATATTAAAAAATATAAAATTAATCATGATGATCATTAAAAAAATGAGCCCAATTCCAAATGTGATGTTTTTGTCCAGCATAATGTCATACTAACAGAAATTCTGACCAATTCTCAGTATATGACCATTTCTGTGAGATCATTTATGAATGATGCTTATTGACACTGGTAAGAACTCTTATACTGGCATCTTTCCAAATGTGTTAAGAGGCATAGTGAAATGCTTTTAAACAATTTGCATTTTCAGGTGGATTTTAAAAGTTACAAAAACATCCCTACAATAATTTGAATCCTGGCATTTTCTATACACTGGCTACCTGCTCACTTCCGTACCGGGTTCAAGGTGCTGGTACTAACCTATAAGGCCCTAAATGGTTTCGGACCTCAATATCTGGCCGAGCGCCTCCTTCCAGTTAGGTCTGCCCATCCTATAAGATCATCGCAGGCAGGGCAGCTGAGAGTTCTGACCCTGAGAGAGCCCTGGAAAACAACCACTAGAAATCGGACCTTCTCAGCGGTAGCGCCACAATTGTGAAACTCTCTCCCGCCTGAAGTCTGCCTGGCCCCTTCACTGGGCACATTCAAAAAGCTGCTAAAAACCTGGCTATTTAGACAGGCCTTCCATGAATAAACTACACTCTGATACAATAGTGTCCAATAATATAACTTCTATCATACTGCCATGCTCCGTGTTTTTATTTTCTTTTATACTTTTAATTGTATTTACTGTATTATAATTTTATCCTCACTTCACTTTTCAAACAACAGGAAAAGAGATTCCATCTAAACATTAGGAAAATTTTTCTAACGGTCAGAGCTGTCCGGCAGTGGAACAGGCTGCCTTGAAGCATAGTGAAGTCTCCTTCTTTGGAGGTTTTTAAGCAGAGGCTGGATGGCCATCTGTTGGGTGTACCTTGATGAATGTTCCCACATGGGGGGTTGGATTGGATGGCCTCAGTGGTCTTTTCCAACTCTATGACTCTGTAATTTTTGAATTTCACCTTTATGTATTAATGTTGCTATTTTGTTATTCTGTTTTTTGTTATTTGTTGTAAACCGCCCAGAGTGGCCTTGGCTGCCAGATGGGTGATATATAGATCAAATAAACAAACAAACAAACATACAGAATTTGTACTCTTCAAGGGGGAAAAAGGGGGGAAAGAGAATTAAGCAACATATGCATCCTGAACAGATATACTTTCCTGAGAAGATTATAGGAAGTAAGTTACTAAACAAGATTACAACGGGTAATCTTTAAAAAGGCATCTGGAAACAACCATGATTCCCCACCCCCTAATGCCCATCATCTTTCTTATAAACACATGTCTTAATGGAATATACTCAAATGCACAAAGCTATTTAAAACTTTGATCTCAAGCAGCTGTACTTGATATTTAGAAGCACCTATCCTAGCATATTTTGCTCTGATTTAAGTAATATTACTCAACTCTCTAAAAGAATAAGGCCATTACGGAGATTAAGCAGCTTTCCAAACATGAGAAGAGAATCTGGTGGCCAGTCATCCTATGTATTGCATCCCTCTACACTTTGCCCTTATCATCAGCCCTAAAAGAAGCATTGTTTATCTGATTTATGAACTGCATACAATGCATGGTTATAGAGCAGGGATCTCCAAACTATGGCCTGCAGGCCATATCCGGCCCACCTTGCCGTTTTATCCAGCCAATTCCCTTCAGCTCGTGCATGCGCATGCACGCAGAGGCAGGAAAAGTGGGGGTGCGTGCATGTGGCATGCGGGGGGGTGTCTGTGTGGGAGGCGTGTGTGGGAATGTGTGTGTGCATGTGCGCACATTCCTGTTCCTTCAGCCCTTAAAATGTTGGAAATATCCAGTGTGGCCCTCATGTTCAAAAGTTTGGACACCCCTGTTAGCAGAGCAAAGCAAAAAACTGAAGTATCATGATGGTGGTTCACTTTACAAGAGTTCAGTCTATTGTAACTCTGAGAAATATATGCACAAAACACTGGAACAAAATTTTGACTTCTCTGTCACTTACAGGAATAATTTCCTCTTCTATAAATCACTGTCATAAATGAAGTAGATTATAATACTTTACCACTTATGGTATAAGTAACGTGATAATCTTTAAGATATTACAACATTATATTCACGAAGGCTTTCACAGCCGGGATCTAATGGTTGTTGTGGGTTTTTCGGGCTCTTTGGCTGTGTTCTGAAGGTTGTTCTTCCTAACGTTTCATCAGTCTCTGTGGCCGGCATCTTCAGAGAACAACCTTCAGAACATGGCCAAAGAGCCCGAAAAACCCACAACAACTATTACAACATTGTTGTTTTTGCTGTAAATAAGTAACATAGCTGCCCATCTAGAAATTATTATACAGTAATGTTATTCTCACCGTCGCTTAGTAGCAGCCCAGTCTTTAAATGAATACCCAGGTAATTCCATCCAGTCTCCAAAACTGATAGTCCGCATAGAACCTTCCATACACTGTGGGAAATAAAGTTCAGACAAGCTCATATACTTTTAAAACCGCTTCAGTTTATCTCATCAATTTATTCAATAACAAAATTCATTTGTGATGACCAAATGCAAAACCACAATTTTTTTTTAAAAAAGGTTTTCATTTTAAAAAAGGACTATGCAACATGTCATGTTCTTTTCATGGATTTTTTAAAAAAATGTTTATTCATTAAAAATACTCGACTGCACATATGATGAAACTCAAAACATTATACTATGATGGTATACACAATAAAAAGTGTCACCAAATACATGCCCTGGCATGATACTTATCAAAAACAGAGACATTATTTGGATGTAGCACTCTGGCCTTCTCTTGAACCACCTACCACAAATTTTTATGGTGTAAAAAGAAGCAATGTGATAATGTACAGTACCTTTAAAGTACGGCATGCAGGGAGATTTCATTTTATTTTCCAGCTAATTAACTCTTATGGAACCCACCAGAAATACTAATCTGCCTTTGCAGCTTTCCTGATAAGTTTTAATCAGCTTGTAAATAAGGCATGAATTCCTTGGACACTTTGTTTCAAAGGATAATAATGGTTTTCTATTTATTGTTTTGTTTTGCCATTACAAGACTGTTTAACTTCAATAGTAGGGCTCTAAGAGGAATACGTAATAGGCAGGAGGCTAATAGGCAGGAGGCTAATGAGCCTAAAGCTTGCAGATTGCCTTACCAACCCACTCACACAGAGTTGCTTAATTGGTTATGACTATATACCCACAAGTGATATGTAAACTAAAGTTTTCCCATCAGAACTGATTCCAAATACAAATAATGAAAGTTTTACTCACATTCCAAGCTCCACCAGGTGGTCCTTTGCCAAGGACAATATGAGGAATATAGTGATGTGGTTCTAGTTTCCAGTGAAGAACAGGTGGATAGTTAAATCCGAAGTCAGCATCAGGATGAAGCAGCGTATCAAAGAGAACTGCAATGGGATTTGAAGAGCGGCCTTCTAAGCCTTCAGCCAAGTACTCTAACTCCTGTTTTGAATAAATGGGTTTAAATGGCCAGAATACAGATTGTGCTAAAAGAGTTTTCATTTCTCTTTCCCATCAGTCTCCTCTACAGTCAAGATCTATTAATCTTCTCATAAAAAATTAATTCTTCCCTTGTGATTAATTACTATCCAAATTCCATATTCTTACAGAAAGACTGATTAGTGTCATGACAGTGCTTCACTGTCTTAACAATGACAGAACAACTCTCTAAAGGTATGGGTTTGACTTGTCTGTACATTTCTCAGTTTTAATTTTAGTAATATACATTGCTGATGTGCCGAACCTGTATTCGTTGTTGAGTGTTTTAAAAACTGATGTTTTCCAACTGCACAAACCTACTAATGTCAATATACTTTTCTCCATTGACTTCAAGCTCAGTCTCTTGGAAACAGTTTCAATGGACTGAACTATATACTGTATGATAGCAGCTTAGAATAGACATAAAAGGAGCCTCCCCAAAGAGTGGAAAAGCATTGTGAGTACACTCTGGCATCCCCTGGGCAATGGTGTGCAGCTGGCAAATCCTTCACTTCCAGAAGCGTTGCACTGAAATAGCTGGACCCACTCACTTCATGGATGCCAAACCCCGGGACAGTGGCTGAAAGTTGAAAAGTTTCTGCACACATTTCAAACTCTGTCTGCTTCTGGTCAAAAATAGTCTGATTGTCTTGACATTTTAATTGTTTTTTTGCCTATATTTCATGTATCTCCATGATTCTGAACTGTGCAATGCTCTAATATGAATAAAGAAATAGAGAATAAATATTTGATATGATTAAATAGTGCATTTTCAATACTTCTGAGAAGATCTTCTCTTTCATTTTATGGGCCAATGATTTTATTTTCAGTAATCCATTGTGCGTCACATCACTGGTTAAAGGAGTACACTGAGCAACAAAAGCTTAGGCCATTGTTAACTACAGTTCCTCAGTTCAAAGAATAAAATCAAAATAGGAAAATAACTACAATTGGCAATTTAGCCATTATATTCAATACATGGACTTCCATATTGATCACTAAGTTTGAGGTGGTGGGGCATGGGGACAAATACTAAGAAGACTTAGTGGACCAGAGGTGGCGATAATGCAAAACTAGACACATTTTGGCTAGTTCTTGTATTTTTATTGTTTGTGGCGTATCTCTCAAAATATCTTTGCATCCCAAGTTCTACTTTGCACCTATTGTACAAGTGAGGAAAGTAAAACTTTCAGCTTCTATCATGGTTCTCATGAGGAAAATAGACACTGTATTTTTTCAGGCCAGGTACAAAATACATTGTTTCTCCCAAACTGACATAGAATCATAAATATAATTTCAAAAGCAGTTATTTCAAATGCTTTTCCTGATCTTGAGTGGCATCCACATTCATAAACTGAATAAAAGATTTGTAGGACCTTACCTGATCAACAATAGAAAGATGACTAGCTTCTTTTAATTTATTATGCAAAATAGGATTTGGATGTTCAGCTTCAGGAGACAAATAAGGCCTGTATCCAGATAGCATGTATGAAAGGCAAATTCCTGAAGGTCCATTACCTGTTGTCAAAAATATAAAGAATTTACCAAAGCTTAAAATTACATTTTACCATAGTGCCCCTTCCCCCCCCCATAACCATGGTCAAATCAAAGTTAGAAGATGTAAGAATTAAAAAGCAGTATTAGATATAAGTAATTCTTTATACAGAATGAAGTTTAATTTTTATTCTTTTGCACTTAATTAGTATTAGTAATTGATAAACCATGGGCAGTACGCAAGGCTGCCGGCAATACAGTGGAATCCAGTGAAAATAGAAGAGGGCACTTTCCTCTCTGCACTACAGCCCCCTGTAGACCCCAAAACTAGGTTTCAAGGTGGTTTAGACAGACAGAGTAGAGAATGAAGGAAGTCTGTACTAATACTCCAGTGCCAGTATACCATTGGATTTAGGCCAATGTAATCATTTTATGGAAATGAAACATGGAATCTAAGCAATATGTATCTACCATATATTTGGAATTAGCCTCCTAACTTTCTCCAATTCCCCAAAATAAAGCAATCTGAGAAAAGAACCAGGAACAGAAAATGTGAAGTGTCAAATAGCCCTTTTCCCCACCAACTCCTTCCAAAGCTAGAGGAGAGTTGTTTGTTTTTAAGTGGTTTCAGACAGAATTTACCCAGTAACATCACTCTCCACTAACTTTCCTTGCTGTAAGTAGATTGTTAAATGGCACCTACTTACCATTTAGGTAAATAGATGCCATTTAAACTATCTACTTACAGCAAAAAAAGCTAATGGAAATGGGAAGCTAATAAAACATGTACAGTATCTGAAATCCTTTTGATCAGACAAGCAGCTTGGGAAGGAAGGAATGATTTTAAATACTATATGAGGAATTAAGCACCCCCATATCTCTGTTCCCAGTCATGGCCTCTCAAAGCAGCTTTGCCTAACAAAAAGGGAATCATTTGAGTTTATTACATGTGACTGCATGTTTCTGCTGTTATTATTTTACATTTATAAAGTGTTGACAAACATTTAAATAGTCTACATATATTGAAAAAGTATAATAAGTGTAATTTCATGCCTACAGGATGACAGTACAAAAAGAATGGGGGAAGAAGACAAGTAGCTGCTATTTCACTGCCCTATGGTTGTGGCCAGGTTGCGTGTGGTACACGTTGAGCCTCAAGGAGTTAGATCTGGCAAGAAAGGAATACAACTAGGCAATTCTTAATCTATTGCAATCATTTTACTAGTTGGAATAAAGTATATTAGCTCAAGTCTCTTTCCTACCAGTATCTAACATATAATATACCAGTATATTGTGATAATAATTTGCCAGTGTAAAATAATAATTATCAATTAATTGTATCAGTTTCCCAAACCATCTAGCAGAGGACAAGGTTGTCAGATGAATATTACTACAGTTTTAACACTTCCAGTATTTCAGATTCTCAATCACATCAGTTTTTAAATTGACAGAGAATAACCCACCTATTACTACCATTGGCAAAGTCAATGGTGGATCCACAGGCAGAGTTGTTTCTTCTAGTAAGGGCATTGTTTTAACATTTGTCCCAAGGTTGTCACCAAAATACTGCACTAAGGAGTTCAAAAAATGTCCTTCAGTTTCTGGGTTACAGTAGTTTCTATTTAAAGGGAAATAAATCAGTTCATCATTATAACGCATTCATAATAAAATAATTATAACACATTCATAATAAAATTATTATGGCAATGCAGCCAAAGGGAAATTTGTCACAATTAAGAAAAAAAGACACTAGTTTCTTCATGCAGAACTTTAAATCCACCCAAGCTCTTCCTAAATAGTTATTTCATCATACCAAAAAATAGTTTATGTTGTCCAATGAGAGTTTACAAAAGGATACAGTCCTTTTTGATTAATACACAATTACTTTTGTAATAAATTGCCTGGCATAATTTTCACACTAATGGCCAAAGAACAAAATCATATATTTAAAATGGCTAGAATCCTCTTGGGGTTTTACTCTGAAGTTAGTGAAACTGTGGAAATAGTTAACTAATGAGGTGCTAGTCATGTGCCTGACTGCTCACAACCACACTGCTGATGAGAAAAATTATACTGGTACAGGCATGAGACCAAAAAAAGTTTTAAAAGGAGAAGCATTTATTCCTCACCTCTGCCCTTGGTGTCAGAAGCCCTAAAAGATGCTAGACACATCAGGAGCTCCAACCTAAAGGGCACAGGACTGATCTGTGAATCTGATAATTATCTGCACATTTTCCCTCCAGTAAAAAAAAAAAAAGTGTATTGTTTCTTCTTTAGTGAACCAGATAGCTCATTTTTTCACAAATGTCTTCAATGCAGCATGGAGTGTGACAGAGGGAGAAAGCCACAAGGTTACTATTCCTGAAAATTATTGTGTATTGAAATTGGTTTTGTGCCTTCTGTCAACTCTTATGTCATAAACAAATTGGAAAAAAGCATACTTATCTACTTTATTACAAAATTCCTTTCAAGAATAAATAATATTGTACAGCCCTGTATGTGGGCAGAATAGCTGGATTTAACTAAAGTAAGAGGAAAGTGCCAAAAGAGCAAATATCTCTATCACAATTGTGATGCTTTCCCTATTGCTTCCCCACACTCTCTGATACTGCAGCCGCACATTTGCTTCAGGATATGGAAGCCAAACTGATTAATACAGAACTTTTTGAATGCAAGTGCTCAGTTGCAGACAAAATAGTGCCCTCAATATGCCATAAAGGCAGCATACAGTGGTGCCTCGACTTAGAAACGTCCCTACTTTTGACCATTTCGAGTTACGACCAGCTCCGGATGCAAAATTTTGGTTCTACTTGCAACCGGAGCGGCCACTTACAAACAGAAAAAGGCAAGGGAAAAAAAGGCGGGAAATTCAAATTTCTAACTGTAGGTGGCAACGAGGCTGCTTCTTTGTAGCTCTTTCGCCCCAGCAGTTAGAGAGTGTGCCTCAGAGGAGGAGGCTTGGGACTGCCTCCTTCTGCTTCTGAGAGCGTGTGTGTGTTTCCAGGGAGGCTTCAGGCTGCCTTGTAAGCTAGGGTGCTGTTTTCTGCTTTTAAAAAACTGTTCTGGGTGTTTTTGCAGCATGATTTTGGGCTGGGGGGGGTTATGCTTCTGTGCTGTGATAGGTCTTGGGGGTTGGTTTTTTTTCCCCATTTCCATTGGGTCTTGGGGAAGGCTGTTACTTTTTAGAGTGTTTTTTCCCATTTCCGATGGGTCTTGGGGGTTTGTTTGTTTTTTGGGTTTTTCCCTATTCCCATGGGTCTTGGGGGATTTGGTTGCTTTTTGGGTTTTTTTCCCCCATTTCCAATGGGTCTTGGGAGGTTGTTTTTGTTTAGCTCCCCCCATTTCTGATGGGGTTTGGTTGCTTTTGGGGGGGATTCTCCATTTCCAATGTGTCCTGCATGCTTCCCTTGCTTTTTCCTTTTTTTTTTTTTTTGCATTTCCAACCTGCCCCCTTTGTTCTCTGTGCATTTCCAATGGGTCTTGCACGCTTGATTGCTTCCCCACCCTTCGGCCAGAAGGGATTAATCACATTTCCAATGAGTATTGCAGTGATTTTTTTTGGGGGGGGGAGTGGTTTATTTCTTCGGCCGGAACAGATTAATTGCATTTCAATGGGAAATGGTGCTTCGACTTACAACCAGAGTGGTACCTCGCAAGACGATGACTCCAAAAAATGACAAATCCGCATGACGATGAGGTTTTGTGATTGCTATAGCGATTTGCAAAACAGTGTTTCCAATGGGCAATTTTCGCTGGACGATGTTTGGGTCCGTGCCTCGCAAACCGTTTCTCGCAAGACGACGATTTTGGCACTGATTGGCGCATCGCAAAATGGGTGTTTTTGGGACCAATGCTTCGCAGGACAGCCATTTTAACAGCTGATCGGCGCTCCACAAAATGGCTTCCCTGTAGGCAATCTTCGCAAAACCACGACAATTTTCCCCCTTTGGAACGCATTAAACGGGTTTCAATGCATTCCAATGGAGAAACAGTTTTCACAAGACAATGTTTTCACAAGACAGCGATTTCTATGGAACGGACTATCATCTTCATGCAGGGCACCACTGCATTTCGAGTTACAACCATCTTCTGGAATGGGTTATGGTCGTAAGTCAAGGCGCCACTGTATAGGTTAAAGTAAACCATGTTGTTATGCAACAACTGCAATGTTCATGAGTGCATAATGCTTTGGTTGGTTCCATAAACTTGTACAGTACTCATTTTCTTTTTGCTATCACAAAAGGGAGGCATCATCGTTCCATTCATCAAAACATATGCTGCAGCTTTACATATAAACATAAATAAGGATATATGTAATTGTGATAACACATGTTTCAAGAATGAAGCACAGCACTTGGGGGTACCGACACAATTAAAGAGTTTTGTCAGAACATTAATTGAGGATATCTTGTAATTCAACCCTAACAGAGGATATCTTGTAATTCAAGTATCCTTGCCAAACAGCTGATGAATTTTTATCTGAAGGCTTCCCCTCCTCACATAATTTTACACTACAGGAAATGAAATGTGTTTTAAAATGACCTTTTCTGCTTTCTCACCAGAAGTCTAGAAAACCAATCTTTAACTATAAGAATTAATCAAATCCAGTCTATGGATGGGGAGATTTTCTGTTTCGTTATCTCTTTCCCATATTAAAACCCATCTGTAACTGAGCAGTGGGACACAGTGCACCATCCTCCCACTGCTCACTGGTGGATAATTCCTGCTTATCACTATATTCATTCTTCTTAAAAGTAACTTTCCACCTTTAGTCTGAACACTTAAGAGGCAGCAACCCTGCTGAATGGAAAAATGGTCAGTGGCTGAAGGACAGAAAGCACTCACAGAGTACTTTCAAGAATGCATTTGGCATCTGAAGAAGTGGGTTGCAGTCAACGAAAGTGCTTAGTCTTTAATGTGCCACAAGGTTCTGTTGTTTTTTCTGCAAAAGATTAAAACAGCTGTCCTCTTGGAAATCTCATGGATAAATCTCATCCTGAAAGAATTTCCAGAAGTGAAACAGACCTTAGTCTAGGAAAGGCTGTGCCGTAATACAACATAATTTCTTAGCTTTTAAGTGCATTAAAATGTATTACTGTAGTTTTGATTCTGGAGGAAAGGGCAAAAATATTGAACAAAAACACAGGCGTACACCTCCTGCTTGCTGTAATACAAACCATGGCATAGTTACTTACACATGCAACACATATAGACATTGTCTCCCATACACACGTGTCCCCGCGCACCCCTATACAAACACGGAGGAAGGAGAGCTGAGGATTCGGACATGCTTGTCTACCGTAACAATTTCAAAATTAAATGTATGTGCCTCTTAACCATTCAGAGATCCACCGCAGCCACCATTGATAGAAATGTGGTGGTGGCAATTAGGGGAGGCTGGGATGGGGACTGCTCTCCCCCCCCTTTTCCTCTCGAGAGCGAAGACATCTCGCTCACAATACAACCAATGTAATCCAGGCCATGGTACATCTCTCTCTCTTTCTCTCTCTCT